TGGATGTTTTAGCAGCAGCAATATGAGATGATTTCATATTGAGATTAAATGTTTACGTGGTTCAAATCATTTGCAGTATATAACAAAATAATCACAATAAATTGTTTGGCCGAATCATGCAGCCCTAGTGTATCTGTACCCTGAACAATGTAAGAAAACTGTTGCAGAATTCTTGTACCTCTCTCTCTCTGGAGTGTCGTTGACCCTGTCTGTATGAGTTTTTGTGACTCAGAGCTAAAAATATCTGTACCTTTTGTGTTCTTTCTGAATTCATTTCATGCTCTTTAGTTTAATGAGTCAAGTTTCCAGTTACAAGTTGGTCTAACAACAACCTTACCTTACATGAGTCACCAAAACCTAACTGCCTGTCTCTCTCGCCCTCTCTTTCTCTGCTGACTTCAGCCCACAGGCCTCTGAGCGATATAATTGTTGAGTGTGTGTTGAACAGACCCTCCACGCTTTCTTTCTCTCTGTGCCTCCACCTCTCTGTTCCTCTGTTGGAGTGCAGTGATATAGTGTATATAGTACGAGAGTATGACAGTAGATGAAATATCAGCTCATTATATAAGACCAGTAGCACATTTTGGGATATTTGTGGCAGACAGACTAGCAGTTTGCATAAACATAAACTATCATAATATAATATGAAACATGACTGTTTTCTTATTAAAAACAAAGGTGGGTGCATTTGCATATAAAAATGGAATAGAATATTACAGCATATAAAAAGAAAACCGGAAAGGAAGGAGCAGATGGAAATAGCGAGGATATGCTCATAGTTCCATCTAAAGACCTAAGGTCACAGTAACTGAGATCTGTACTAATCTTTGTTTGGTCATTTTACTTTTATAGTCCTTCCTCTTTGCAAACTCTCTACTCTGAAAATATGTTAGAATTTGTATGTTACTGGTTTGGATTTAATCATGAACAGCTACAGTATAAGTGGATTATTACAATAGTGCACAATTTGCAATCTGTGTATTCGATTCAGTCAGACCCACCCCTACTTACTGTAAAGACCACACAACCACACAAGGCCTTGTAGTACATTTCTTGACCTTTTGTCAGCTCTTGAATACTGACCTCAATTTCCTTTCAGAGCACAGTTCACACGGTGGTACATAAGAATTGTCACCTGAAGACATTGGCACTGAAGACATAGACACAGATTTTACAGCAGCTATCATCTTCACATCTAATTATTCAGCAGATTTCTTTAGGAACTAAAGAGCATGTTTAGAAATCCTTAGCAACGAACTTAAATCACAAAGCATTTTTGAATTGCTTGGAGTAATAAATAATAAATGTTATTGAAAGGGGCTGCTCTGATCAGTAAGAGAGTACATCACAGACTTGGCAGTGTTATTATCATGCAAATGACAGTATAATATACTAGACATTCTCTTGTAGTCTCTTACAGTATACTTTTGTAGCCTTTATCCATTACATTATAAAAGATGCAGTAGCACTAGTGTCGTCCGCCAGGAAAGCACATGGCTGGCACTTTAAAATCGTACTTAAATGGACTGTGACAGTAGGCGCGTTTCCATTACAGATTTGCGCAAAACTTTGGCGATATTTTATTAATGTCGATAAAAAAGTATTGCAAAATGACGGCATTTCCATTAACCAATGTTATGCGACTAAAGCGTAAACTTTTGCCTCTCGCGATAAGTCATGGCAATGTATTTTGGTGGGATTTTGACAGATTTTGGCTATATTTATTCAAAGGAGGCGTATGCGTGTATCTTTACAGAAGCAGCACAGAGAGCCACTTCAGAAATGTGTGTGACACAGCAGGAATAAACACAAGCACTGAGTAGAGTGGCTGCAATCAGCTTCAGTGGCCGTATCAGAGCCACACTGCAACGCAGACGTATGCGGTGTAAATGGTCTTAGCATTAATGGTAGGGAAAGCCCCTTATACTGGAGAGAGGCCACATATGTGGTGTTTCTTGGAGGTTATAGTACATTGAAGAATGATCATATGACTTTTTACATACGCCATGTGACCTGTAAATGCGGGAAAAAAAAAGTTTCTGTTGCAGTTTTGCGAATTACTCCTTTTTCGCATTGCCTGAAAAACCACTTCAAGCGAGCGTAAAAACTTTTTTGCGATTATATTGAATCGAAATTGACGCATTTCCATTAGGTGTATTTTCAATTTCGCAATTTCAATTTGCGCAATTTGAAGGGTAATGGAAACGCGCCTAGTGTCATGGTTATATTCGTGGACTTCTGTTTATGGAAAATGCATATTTACATTATGAATTATTCTGCTCCTATCCTTTATTTGAATTACAGAATAATATGTCAAGTCGTGGTGTATTTCGACAAACAGTTACTCACTGGTGACCTTTAGCAGTGTGGGAATCTGATAGCAGGCCTGTGATCTCACATGGCTTATGAAACTTCAAGTTCAAGCAAGATCAAACTGTGGTGCTTGAGTTATGCACATCTTTTTTAAAAGGCTGTAGAAATGAATCCGCACACTTCCAGTGTTGCATAAACTCTGTAGTACTTAATTTGTCAGTTTTTCATTAGATTCCACTGTTTTTATTGCCTGTTTTTGAATATAGAGAACCTGTATAGTACACTGTTTCACAGCAAGAAGCATCTATCTCATTATATTATCCTATGTGGTTCATTTGAGAGTCATGTGAGTGGTCTTTTCATATGAAAATGTACTAAATAGAATAATTGATTATGAGCGTTAATCCCATTTTATTCATTAAGTGTTAATTAAGGCGCATCATACTGACAGCACAATAGAACAGGAGAGCAATAATTCTGACTTAATATATTTTGATCAGTAATTCTTGTTAGACAAATGGTAAGCAAGCATTGCTTATATTCACCGATTTTTGCCCAATGTATTGCATAGTCTACATAGATGCATTCACTATATTTGTTTTCATAGCCTTCAAATTGCATATTGTTTGGAGGACAACACTGGGCAATATGTAGTGAATAATATTTAGATTTTTATAATAATTGACAGATGAATCAATTATCAAAATAAGTAGTGAATATTGCTTTTTGAGTATTGATGCAGAATTCAGGCAAGGGTGTTAGTATTTGTGAGCCTGGTGGCCTGTTAGTTTTTTAGGTTGATTGAGGTTTAAAGAGAGGCTTCCTATAGAAATCCTTTTCAACTCACTGAAATTACAATTCTGTCCTCATTTACTCACTCTCATGTAGTTCCAAACCTGTATGACACTTTTTTTCTTCTTCTGAGGAACACAGAAGATTTAAAAGAAAAAGTCTGAAGTGTTTTGTTCATACAGTGAAAGTCAATGGGGTCTAGGCTTGCCGCGATAGACGGTGTTTTCGGTTATACCGGTGTTAAGCTACAACACCGGTTACGTCATTTGCCTACCGCGGCACCACCCCCCACCGTCATTTTGATTTTTTTATAGTAACAAAAATCATTTAGCCTAGTTCAGTTAGAGGACAGATACTTTTAAAAACTAAACGCTCAATGCAGCGTCCCGAACCGTGCGCAAACGACAGTGCACCACGGAGCAGGAGTCAAATTTTATTTATCACGTGAGGAGAGTGAGTCGAGCTGACTGACATGAGTGAAGTGAGAAAGACAAGACAATGGCAGAAGATTGTTTAGAAAGGAAATGCAAAGGCACCTGTTTGGCAATATTTTAGATTTTGAAAAGCCTATTGACTGGAAGTTTTTTTTAAACATTCGTTTCTTATTTATTTGGTTCCAAAGTGTTTGCCGATTTACTTTATTTAAACTTTGTGTAGTTTATTTATTTTATTTTACATCAAGGTGTATATGCCGTGCCGCCAAGCTTTCTTATTCGTTTTGATAATAAACATTCTATGTTTCTTATTTATTTAGTGAAGTGAGAAAGACAAGACAATGGCAGAAGATTGTTTAGAAAGGAAATGCAAAGGCACCTGTTTGGCAATATTTTAGATTTTGAAAAGCCTATTGACTGGAAGTTTTTTTTAAACATTCGTTTCTTATTTATTTGGTTCCAAAGTGTTTGCCGATTTACTTTATTTAAACTTTGTGTAGTTTATTTATTTTATTTTACATCAAGGTGTATATGCCGTGCCGCCAAGCTTTCTTATTCGTTTTGATAATAAACATTCTATGTTTCTTATTTATTTGGTTCCACAGTGTTTGCTGATTTTCAGTTTTATGTACCCATTTAAACTTTGTGTAGCCCAAGTAATTTATTTTATTAGGCATTTATGGTGTATTTGTATTAGTTTTGTTAACAAAAGTTCTGAGTTTGACGTTGAATCTGAACTGAATCAACGCCGAATTGCCGCTAATTTGAAAGTGAAAGTAAAACACGCACGGCACTTTTACAAGCAATTTGAAAGCGAAGAAAAGACAGTGTTACCAGTGTTGTCACACGTCAATTAACCGGTGGGAAAATTTCCTGACCATCACAACCCTAATGGGGTCCAGTGTTGTTTTGGACCCTAGTAAATTTTCATTTTTGGGTGAACTGTCCCTTTAATTGCACTGTCAAGAAGTCTCTCTGTGGAATCCGAGAGAGTGGAGATTGGAGAGTGAGATTGGAGATGACTTCTATAAATATCGCCGTCAGATAACGTTACCTGAGTGCAGTCAGGTATATCATGACCACATTATACTCCTGAATCAATTGTGATCGTATGTCATCCAGCTACGTAGCATTGTTGATTAAAGGAGGTTTCATTTGCTTAGTTACAATTCAGACCGATACTTGGATGCAGAGGATTTAGATGCTTAGTGCCTGTGATTTTCTTCAGCTTCATCTGAGCTGCTAAACAAGTCACACAGGTGTGGAGAATAGAGTTGATTGGCATTGAATAGCACTGAATAGAGCTGATTGGAGTGATTCGTGGTGGTCTAATATCATTTTTATTTCACAAAATGTCAAAGGAACAGCACTGCATTTGTGGAGACAGTCAGACCAGATTTTTTCATGTATGTTGTAGGCTGTGTATTGTGTGTGCTGACCGACTCGCTCTTGCACCCACAGTGTCCTCTGGGGAAGACATCAGTCGTGGCGTATAGCATCTTCTCTTAACACTGAGTCCAATGGATACATTGTTTGGCCTACGTTTCAGACGGAAAGCCTGTGAGCCAAGTGGACCCAGGCTCTCCAGCGTGTCACTTGCAGCGAGTAAAGCACGCCGGCGCTCCAGCGTGGGCCTGCCGTCAGCAGGCCTGGCTCAGAGACGCAGGTCTAGCACTCAGCTCCAAACCAGCAACGTGCAGGTGGGGGTCTTACACCGCAGAAGAGGACACTTCACCAGGAGGAGGTCGAGCGGTGCAACAGCCTGCCTGACCCCACGGTTCGCTATACGACGAAGACAGGCTGCCAAACACCATAGCATTCACGCCCAGCTCCTTGGACCATCGCTGCTCTTGGCTAGCGTGGTGCAAATGAGTGAAGATCATGAAACTGAGAATAAGAGTGCAGAAGAATACTCCTCTCTCTCTGATAGTGACTGTAGCCAGGAGGAGCACAAGCAAGCAGGGATGGACTTAGAGTTGGAGTCTGATAAGTGTATGACGTGGTTGGCTCAGGGTTTGATGCCAGGAGAAAGTATTCAGCCCCGTCCCCTCATCCGTGCCCCACGTTGCCTGAGGCGAAAGTCCTCACACCTACTTCCTGCTGAAGCCATTTACCGGAGCCCAGGCTCTTATGGGCTGTATGGCCGTTACCGTAGGACCAGTCAGGCACAGGGCCTGTCTAATGTAGGTGGATTGTGGGCAGGGAGGCGAAATTCTCTTGCAGGTCCAGGATCAGTTTCACTGTACAGGACGAGCTCCTCTTGCTGGCCAGATCTCAGTCTTTCACACACACGGCAGGGAATTTACTACAACCCACAGATTGACACATGGAGTGCATTCCTCTCGTATGTAGAGCCCTAACTACAGCTGTATGTCTTAGTATGTGTGTGCTTGTAATGTTTTCACCGAAAGCTATTTGGACTTTGCAGTCACATTTTAATGCCATATGTGAGAGTATATATGTCCCTTTTCAAACTTTGGGGAGAATTTTTTTTCCCTCAGCACTACATAATTACTACTCCAAAGTAAATAACCTTAATACTAGCCTTACTGTAAATCAAGCACTCCAACAGTATGTGTAAGAAATATGATTGGTGGAGCAGTGGGATTATTTTATGAGTGTCAGTTTGGCAGCTAAACACAAAGGTTCAATGTTTCTGTTTCTCTTTTCTTTTTATTCTCTCCTTTCACTTTTTCAAATTGATCTCACTTCTCCCGAGGTGTTTTTTGTGTGTTTTTTTTAATTCTTTTAATGGTTTACATGTGACGCACACTGTTAAAACAACAGTAATTTGAATGTTTTGTTTTGTTTGAAACTTTTACTGTCCTTCTTTGTGTATGTGTACATCCGGGCTATACATTGAGTTTCTGTTTATCATTTTTGCTTGATGTTTTATGGGACCTGTCTATTTTGTGTTTGTCTGTAGAAAGGCCATTGCCAAGTCCGGTCTCCAGCACCTGTCATGCCAGCCCAGTGCTGCAGTGTTGGCTAAGGGGGAAACCGACAGAGAAATACGCAGCACAGTGGACTGGAGTGTGAGTAACACAAACCCAAATAATCTAGACTTCAGATCTCTAATCATTGTACTCTTGATAGAGCTACAGTTTCTTTCTCTGGTTTCACATTTAATTTGATGCATTGTATTTTGAGCAGGAATCAGCTCTGTACGGAGAGCACATCTGGTTCGAGACTAATGTCTCTGGGGACTTCTGTTACGTCGGAGAACAGCACTGTTACGCCAAGTCCCTGGTGAGTCTGTGTTCTATAGGAATGCCAGCATAAGTCCCTCTTTACAAAAGAGAGATAACCGAGTGAGTAAACAGAGGAGAGTAAATAGCTGGACGAAAGTGAGAAATTCCAGATTAGAGAGAATACAGGATGGTAATATACTGGAGAATCTAGAGTATATGATGGAGGATATAGAAATAGATGGATGGTAAAGGGGGAAATAAGAGAGAATCTCTCAATTGCACATTTCTCTTTTTCGCTCATATTTTCTCTCTTAGCGTAATGGTGCCCCCTGGTAGCGAGTTTACAAAATGCATTGCATAATTTCTATTTTTCAAATTATGGGCACTAAATCATTATGATTTAGTTCTTGATTGTTAATTTTGCGTCAAGTGAAGATCACCTCAGTCAGAGCAAATCTAATGTCTCTTTTTCCTGTTTTTCACAGCAAAAGTCTGTTGCTCGGAAAAAATGTGCCGCTTGCAAGATCGTAGTTCACTCCATCTGCATTGAACAGCTGGAAAAGGTGAGTGTCGTTACCAGTGGCAGGTAGAGGTAGAGACATGATCTGACACTGCATCACAGACCATACGTGTTCCTCCCTTCAGTTATTGGACTGGAATGCTCTGCCTCAAGGGGAGGGGCTTGATGAGGTGCCTCTCAAAGACCCATCATTCAGAGTGAGAAACTCTCTAGCTTTTTCTCCGACTCGGCTGGGGCTAATGGATCACTCACACATCTGATCTTAGTAAAGACTGGTGACTGTCTGGCCTGATAAACCTAGAACAGCTAAATAACAGAGTCCCGTTAACATCTGGTGCCACTTTAGCTCTCAGTCCATCCAGCCTGTGAAGGGGGCATTCAAATGTTTTTTTTTTTCAACTTAATTGGTTTGAAGTTAAGACAAAATCTGGTTTAACCATGCAATTCAGAAAGGTTTTCTTGCCAGACATATTCCGTTTCTTATTAGTAGGGGTGCTCCGATCAGGATTTTTGAGGCGATCATAGAAAGCAGTATCTGCCGATACCGATCACCGATACCGATCTTTTTAATGCCTTCTTTTTATCATTTATAACTATTTATAGTGATACCCCAATCAGGATTTTTAGACATTTATTCAGGCCTGAATTTCATTTTTGAAAATGGGGGGAATTCCCCTCTTAGGTGACATGTCCCTTTTCAAACTTTGGGGAGAATTTTTTTTCCCTCAGCACTACATAATTACTACTCCAAAGTAAATAACCTTAATACTAGCCTTACTGTAAATCAAGCACTCCAACAGTATGTGTAAGAAATATGATTGGTGGAGCAGTGGGATTATTTTATTTGTGTCAGTTTGGCAGCTAAACACAAAGGTTCAATGTTTCTGTTTCTCTTTTCTTTTTATTCTCTCCTTTCACTTTTTCAAATTGATCTCACTTCTCCCGAGGTGTTTTTTGTGTGTTTTTTTTTATTCTTTTAATGGTTTACATGTGACGCACACTGTTAAAACAACAGTAATTTGAATGTTTTGTTTTGTTTGAAACTTTTACTGTCCTTCTTTGTGTATGTGTACATCCGGGCTATACATTGAGTTTCTGTTTATCATTTTTGCTTGATGTTTTATGGGACCTGTCTATTTTGTGTTTGTCTGTAGAAAGGCCATTGCCAAGTCCGGTCTCCAGCACCTGTCATGCCAGCCCAGTGCTGCAGTGTTGGCTAAGGGGGAAACCGACAGAGAAATACGCAGCACAGTGGACTGGAGTGTGAGTAACACAAACCCAAATAATCTAGACTTCAGATCTCTAATCATTGTACTCTTGATAGAGCTACAGTTTCTTTCTCTGGTTTCACATTTAATTTGATGCATTGTATTTTGAGCAGGAATCAGCTCTGTACGGAGAGCACATCTGGTTTGAGACGAATGTCTCTGGGGACTTCTGTTACGTCGGAGAACAGCACTGTTACGCCAAGTCCCTGGTGAGTCTGTGTTCTATAGGAATGCCAGCATAAGTCCCTCTTTACAAAAGAGAGATAACCGAGTGAGTAAACAGAGGAGAGTAAATAGCTGGACGAAAGTGAGAAATTCCAGATTAGAGAGAATACAGGATGGTAATATACTGGAGAATCTAGAGTATATGATGGAGGATATAGAAATAGATGGATGGTAAAGGGGGAAATAAGAGAGAATCTCTCAATTGCACATTTCTCTTTTTCGCTCATATTTTCTCTCTTAGCGTAATGCTGCCCCCTGGTGGCTAGTTTACAAAATGCATTGCATAATTTCTATTTTTCAAATTATGGGCACTAAATCATTATGATTTAGTTCTTGATTGTTAATTTTGCGTCAAGTGAAGATCACCTCAGTCAGAGCAAATCTAATGTCTCTTTTTCCTGTTTTTCACAGCAAAAGTCTGTTGCTCGGAAAAAATGTGCCGCTTGCAAGATCGTAGTTCACTCCATCTGCATTGAACAGCTGGAAAAGGTGAGTGTCGTTACCAGTGGCAGGTAGAGGTAGAGACATGATCTGACACTGCATCACAGACCATACGTGTTCCTCCCTTCAGTTATTGGACTGGAATGCTCCACCTCAAGGGGAGGGGCTTGATGAGGTGCCTCTCAAAGACCCATCATTCAGAGTGAGAAACCCTCTAGCTTTTTCTCAGACTCCGCTGGGGATAATGGATCATTCACACATCTGATCTTAGTAAAGAGTGGTGACTGTCTGGCCTGATAAACCTAGAACAGCTAAATAACAGAGTCCCGTTAACATCTGGTGCCACTTTAGCTCTCAGTCCATCCAGCCTGTGAAGGGGGCATCCAAAACTCTTTTTGATAACTTGATTGGTTTGAAGTTAAGTTTGGTTTTAACCATATAATGCAGAAAGGTTTTCTTGCCAGACACACTCTTTTTCTTATTTTCTTATTAGTACCTTAATCACTATCAATGCGATTGGGCAAGTCAGTGTCGGGTTGTTGGTGGAGTTTTATTTTACCCATGAGGCACAGATTCTGTGTGCTCGGTATTGAATTGGGCTGGTGTCTTCAACAGTTTGTGACTGGTATGTGGGGCTGATTGTGGTGAAATGATGCTTGATCAGGGATGATTTTAATCATACTTCTCACTAATCAGTCTAATAAACTCAGAGAAGATGTAGAGGCAAATGGTGCATGTGGTTTTTGTTCTGTTCTCATATACTCTTTATAAAATTCCAAAGTTTATTTTTCCCTCTGTAGAAGTATTGAGCTCAGTTAGGAATCTCCAAATCTGAGCATGTTTTCTGGAAAACAATCCAGCATTTTGTGGTTTTGATGAGCTACTAATTGTTTCATTGTTGGGGTTTAAAGGTGCCATAGAATGGAAAACTGTATTCACCTTGGCCTAGTTGAATAATAACAGTTCTGTACATGGAAATGACATACTGTGAGCCTCAAACACCATTGTTTCCTCCTTCTTATATAAATCTCGTGCATGCAAAAGACCACTGAAACATAGGTGAATCAGAACATAGCACCGACTGTGACATTACAGTCGGGATCACTAATAGTTACGCCCCCAACATTTGCATATACCCGCCCA